AGCTATAGTGCTAGGTGCAATTTGCTCACTGCAGTCTCATCCTTCACACCCTGTAGGATCTCAGCCTTGCTCCAGCTCCAGACCCCATTATCTTGTCCCTGCTTATCCTGTTCTGCTCCTGACCTCAGGCCTGGACTATGAATACAGATATCATATTAGATTAGAAATGTCACTCTGACAGCTGGGTTTGTCACCTTTTGTCATAGCCTCAACCACTGATCCAGATCCCCTGCAATCTCAGGTACTTGGCTAGGCCCACACTCCACAAGAATACTGATGGCCTTCTTACAATTGTATTGTGCTTACAGTTTGAGCAGCAAGAGCTTAACTGAAGGGCCTGGGCTTATATACTCAGCCCAGCTGGCTCTACAGCCAGTCAGCTCAGTGCTTGCAGCTGGTGCTGCTCTGGGACCAGGTGGCCCTGCTTAGAGGGAAGATGGTCTTCCAACAGCAACCTCGCACTGAAAAAAGGTAAAAATTGGACCAAAGTAAAATTGGACCAAAGTAAAAATTTGGCAAAAATTGTTTATTTTGCTCCAAAAAAGCTGGAAAATTTTCTTTGTGGAAATATTTACTGCGCTCGTCCCCCTCAAAAGCTTAATTAAATGAAGACTTGTCACTTGTTTCTCAAGATGAATTGTTGGAATTTTTAAGTCTTTGGATTTGCCAAAAACAGTCTTGGAAAACTGAAAATATTTGGGGGGGGGGTGGTTAATCAGAAAAATGTTTTAAAAAAAAATAGCTGGAAGTTTTTTAGTAAGCAGTTTTGAAAATTACCTGCGAAACAAAGGTGACATTTTTCTACCAGTGCCAAAATCTACTAAAATTTTCCAATCAAGTGTCTCTGAGTTTCCCCTTATTGTTGCCCAGAAGTACCTCACATTATAAACCCGATCTCTCTTATCATCTGCCAGTGTCCTAACTGACCCAAGACCTGGCCCAAAGTCCAGTGAAACCAATGTAAAGGCTCATTGACTTCTGTGGTTTTTAGATCTGGTCCCTAATCTTCACATTAGGGAAGAACAATTGAAGGGTCTTTCATAGACCCTTTCCAATGCCAGTCTCTGCTGGAGGGATCTGGTTGCTACTATCACAATGATTGGCTGACAGCTTTGCCCAGTGTCTCTTATTAGCGTGGGTTTAGCAGGAGGGATGATGGTAAAGTAAATTCAAAGCAAGTCAGGGGTCCCTGTACTGCAAGGGACTGGCCTCACTACACTCGCACTGCATTTACCACCGGTTGGGCAGTGCTGTTCCCAAGCCCTCAGAGCTCAATCAGCCTCAGCGAGGACAGACGATTCTTCCTTGTCCTAAGACATGACAGGAACAAGACACTCGCTGCTGACTTAGCCCTTCAGACTACAAGAGAAACGGGCACTTGTGAAGCAGCTCACAGCTCCCCACCCCTGGACGCACCGCAGTGCCGGCTTGACCCCATCTTTACTGCCGCGAGAGATGCTCGTGTGACAGCCACCTTGTTAGCTGGCACCGAGGACTGAGCTGTGACCCTCTGGAGTTGAAAGCAGGAATCTTTTCTGCTTGAGCGAATGTGTCAGGACTCCTAGCTGAAAGCTATACCAAACTCATCTGCTCTCTGGATCTAGCACAGAGGTGGATGCACAATACACAAAGGCCCTGACAAGTGGGATACATGAGAATAAGCAGAGCTGTTAGGCCTTGAAATTACATGTTACTGAGAAGGCAGGAGCAGCCCAGCTCTCAGCTACAGCATTTTACTGTGCAAGATGGAGAGGGGAGATTAAACTATGGTGCCTCAGTTTGAGATTTAAAGACTTAAGCTGCTGTTTAGAGCTTCTGAGCTCATAACCCAGTGAAAGAAAACACAGCCAGAAGAGAAGTCTGTTTATGTGGCTCGTGAGATAGAGAAGAGAAACTTCCCCATTTCATTCATTTTCCCAGTTCTCAGTTAAGCTCTTTGCAGAATGCTCTTATAAAACAGCAGCATACCACATGCTACTCTAATGGACTAGAGGAGAAAGAGCCCCAGGTAAAACCAATGGACGTACAATAGCCAGACTGGTTCAGCTAACTGGACCTAACGCTCACTTTATTAGCTCCTTGGCCGGTGCAGTATGGGAAGACATAATTAGATTCAGCTGGAAAAGGCCTGGTGGGTTTTGGTGGAAATTTAAAACCTAGGATGTGAAGTATGGGAAGACTAAAAAGGAATTCCAGTAAGTATAGAAAGCCAAGTATAGAAAGAGGGGAACAGGGGACAAGAAAAGTGCAGTGTTGTCATAGGGATGGATAGAAGAAGTGAAAGAACAAAAGCCATATAGGACAATGAAAAGAAAGAGGTCTCAGACAGACGTAAGGCACATCTGGAGGCACTGGGCAAACACAGTGCCAGGACAGCACACATCTGTAGAGCAAGATTAAAAGATGAGGTGTAGAAGGCCAAAAGCTCATGGCCACATGACATCTTATGGACGGACTCTGGCATTCATTACTGAACAGCTGTACACATGTGATGGGTAGGTTGTTTCGCCCCAGCAGCACAGTGCGTGCATGATGCACTATAGCTACAGGCATAGGGTTTCAGGGAGGGCACTGGCAGGAGAAGGGCAGGGAACGCACCGTCCCCAGAAAAGACGCATTTTTCTTTTCTTCAAAAGGGGCCACAATGAGGAGAACCAATGGGAAAGCAGCTGGAAATGGCCCCCCCCATGGAAAACCAACCTCATGCATCTGTACTTGTTCCTCTATCCTCCCCCTTCCCTGCCTGGGCTCTCTCTCCAGTTACCAAGTGCCCCTAGGTCTCGCCCATACCTTTCCGGATGCCACCATCAGCTGCACAGGAGAAGTCCCCAGCAGTCAGCAGAAAGCACGTAGCCGCTTTCTTGTTCTTGTCTCTGGTGCTGGAGCGTCTCATGGGCTTTTTCTCCTCGTTGGATGGTGACAGGGGCTGCTCTTCATCTGACAGCACCACATTGGCATCGCCGTTCTGCTTGGAGTCTTCAGAGGCAGGGCCAAGGAGGAGAAAAATTAAGAAAAATATTAATTCTCTGAGGAAACTGCTGAGATCCAGGCTCTTGCCACTGGCTATAAGAAGGCCTTGCAGATGGCTGCCCACTAGCTACAGAAACGTTCCCCTGAACATTGCCCAAACTGGGATCCCCCAGCCCTGACCTGAAGGGACCAGTCTAAAGGGAGAGAGAGGAACTGAGCCACCTCTGAGGTCAATGGGACTGATGGCCTATTCCCCAGGCAATTCCATTCTCTGCTATCTCCAAGCTGATCAGAGCAGTTTTGTTCAGGCCCTCAGTAGGTTTTATTCAGGACTGATCAAAAGGGGAATCCTTGATCAGCTCCAAGGGCTGCTCTAAATTACACTGGGGATCAAACTGCCACCTGCCGAATTGGGAACAACAGCTGGCTCCTTTGCATATGGCCCAGGCTGTACCCAGCGGACTTTTACTGAGGGCTGGGTCTGAGACTCACAAAGCTTCAGTCCAAAAGTAAATGTTTGCGAGCATGTAGAAACAAGGGAGTTACAAAGGAAACACGTGGAGCTCAGCCGAGGTTCTCAAATATCACTGTAGTGCATGTAAACACGGGCAAGTACACGAGGCATCAAGCAGGCACTACTACGCACCCATCAGCAAACACAAGCAGGGCCAGATCCTGAGATGGCATCGCTCACTGAAGCTGAAAACCTGACAGGGATGACCCCTGAGAAGCTGTGTGAATTCAATGCTGGTGCAAGACAAGTGCACCGTAGATAGCTGCCACCAGACCAGTTTCCATCACGTTGCATGTCCAACCACAAACTGAATGGCATCAACACTTGGGCCAAAGGAAGCTCAGTCACTGTGGCCCATTCCATCTTTGGCTTCTCTGCTGAAACTGCCAGCACCGAGGCCACCTAGTGCCAATTAAATTTGCTGTTTAGCAGTGCAGACACATACCCACTCAGACGTGGGCAGAGACCTAGCAGGCTCATGTCATCTAGATCCCAGCAGCCTGCTCTTGTGCCCATTTGCTGCCTCTTTCACTCACTGCTGGGCGAGACAGATTGGAAGCAGTGGCCTTGGTGGAAGGGGTCTCACTGCCAAGGCTCCAATGTAAGCTGGAGGCTAAGCTCTTGATATGATCTGAATGCATTTGCTTTTGACATCCAGAACTGGAGACAACCATCCCAGCCTGGAGTCTCAGCTCCTGCAAATCAGCGACGCTCCTTCAGGGCCATTGTTGTTGCTTCTCTTGACACCAGCTGAGGATAGCTCCCCTCCTTTTGGCAGCTCTGTGAGAGCCACTATTGGGTGGGAAGGATGCTCTCTAGCAGGAACATTTGGTGGCTTTTTTTCCCCCTGGAGAAACAAAGGAATCTGAATTTCTTCTCTGCCCTGAGCAGCGTTTTCCCCTGGAGGGCCCAGAACACCTTTATCTGCAAGTCAGCACCTGCAGCAAGAAACCCCAGAGATGCACAAAGCCTTGGGAAGCAGCTACACATAGCTTCGCTGCTGAAAAGCACTGGCACCGAGAGGCCACACAGATCAGGAGCAAGCTGCATCTCATTCCCTTTGATGGCAGACTGTGCTCTGGAGACACCGCATGAGAAATTGCTTCTTCTGACTCTGTAAAACATGCCACCAGGCTGCCATGCTTTACATTGCCCCTGGCTCCTCAACAGTACAGCTTCCATGTGGCCCACTGAGGCTGGAGGACCCAGCAAGGAGACACAGCTGGCTCAGTAAAGTATAGACATGAGGTCAGTGGAACGAGCCCAAACTAGTCATGTAAACGGAGCGTGGTGGAACAATCAAGCTGGGATAGATTAGCTACCAGGAGACAGACTCAGGGCTTGAACTGGCCATTTACTCAGGCACCTTGCAGGCCGTGCCAGCTGCTAAGATGCCAGCATACCACATGGTAGCAGTTCAAATACTGGAACACAACGCACACTCAGAAGGGACCTCAGGAGATCATCTCGTCCAACCCCCTACGCTGGCCGAGCCTCAACAGATGTTTGCTTCCCTGATCGTTAACACCTCGAGTGAAGGAGATCCCACAACCTCCCTATGGCTGTTCCACTGTTTTACTCCCCTACATTAGGCAGGTTTTCCTAATACCAACATAAGCCTCTTGCTGCAGAATAAATTGCTTTAATTGCATCTTTTCTTCAGTAGTGATGGAGAAGACTTGACCAACATCCCCTTTATACCAGGCTGTTGGGTTCTGGGAGGCTGTTTTCATGGTGTCCCATCCCTCCCCCCGGTCTTCTCTTCTCTACAACCAGTAAAGTTACTCCTGATTTACAGCATAAGAAACAAAAGGAGACCATGATTTGATGCAGTCATTCGTGATTTACACAAGTGTGCATGAGAAGGGACTCTGACCCAGTGGAGTTACTCCTGACCTAGACCAGGTTGGGACAGGAATATGGCCTGACAGTTACTTCTCATTTACACATGGGGAAATAAAAGGACCCCTTATCCCACTGTGGTTACTCCCGATTTACAGCTATGACTGGATCCCACCTAATTCATGTGGAGGATAGAGAGGGAGGGGAAGATGTCCCAATAACAGTGCTCCTGATTGCTACCAGGTGAATAAGAGGGGAAGGTCAAATCCAGTAGACTTAGCCTTGATCTTTACCCCTGTCAGAGCAGAATTAGGCCCACTCAGCTCAGTCCCTACCTGCTTCTCATAACGCTGAAATCACCTGAGCCTCTGGCCACTTGGATACAGCACAGAGCAATCAGCCACCTGGCTGCCTCTGGCCCTTCTTGCAACAGGATCTCACTGAAGTGGTAGCATCAGGGCCATATTCTGCTCTTACACCTGGGCTGAATCTGCAGCAGCTGCCTTGGAACCATGGCAGACCATCAAATGTAGCATTGGGAGCAGAATCCATCCCAGAGCCATTGTAAGGCACTAGATGGTGCTTTCCCCTAGCTTGGAAGAGTTTAAAAGGAGATTAGGCGAGCACCTGGCTGGGGTCACTTGACCCCAGCGCTCTTTCCTGCCCCAGAGCAGGGGGTTGGACTCGATGAGCTAATAGGTCCCTTCTGACCCTAGAAATCTATGAAACCTAGATTGCATGTACGTACCTGTCACCTGTTCCCTCCCGCTTCAGGCTTTATGTACCTTGGGGTTTTGCATCTCACCTGCTCGTTTCCTCTCTGCCACCTCCTCTGTTGCCAGGGGGCAAGTGTCGCTCTGTGTGCTGCTGCGGGGCGAGTTATCCTCAGACTTGCAGTAGGCGGGGGAGTCCAGTGGGGCTGGGCGGGGTATATGCTTTTTCTTCTTCTTTGGGAGCTTTTGCTTGGCCATAGCCAGTGAGTAATACATTCCAAAGTTGTTAACGATGACGGGCACTGGCATGGCAATAGTGAGCACCCCAGCGAGCGCGCACAGTGCCCCCACCACCATGCCTGACCAGGTCTTGGGGTACATGTCACCGTATCCCAGTGTTGTCATGGTGACGACTGCCCACCAGAACCCAATGGGGATGTTCTTAAAGTGCGTATCACCTCCTCTGGGGTCCGATGACTTGGCCCCAATCCTCTCGGCATAGTAGATCATGGTAGCGAAGATCAAGACCCCTAGGGCCAGGAAGATGATGAGCAGCAGGAACTCGTTGGTACTAGCCCGGAGCGTGTGGCCTAGCACCCGAAGCCCCACAAAGTGTCGTGTCAACTTGAAGATCCTCAGGATCCGGACGAAACGGACCACCCTCAGGAAGCCCAGCACGTCCCTTGCAGCTTTGGAGGACAGGCCGCTGAGGCCTACCTCCAGATAGAAGGGCAAGATGGCCACAAAATCAATGATGTTGAGTAGGTTCTTGATGAAGACCAGCTTATCTGGGCAGCAAATAATGCGTACCAGGAACTCCAGGGTGAACCACAGGACACAGACTCCCTCAATGTAGGTCAAGATGGGCTCCGTCTCCACCTTGCGTGTCAGCAGGATTGTAGTGGTATTGCCAACCACCAGTGTTTCAGTCACGTTGACGTCTATGTTAAAGGCCTCGTGTGTCTCCAGGCAGAAGGTCGTAATGGAAACCAGGATGAAGAAAAGCGAGGCAAAGGCAACTACCTGCAGGAGGAAATGAATTCAGTGGTTAGGAGGACGTTGCAAGCGGGATGGAGAGGACTTGGGTGTAATGGTGGTAGGAACTTTGCAGTGGAAAACGAAGGTACGAGAGTATTATATGGGGGTGAGGGGGTCAGGAAAAGGCAATGCATGCACAGGTTAAGAAATTATGTAGGCAAGGATAACTACCTACGCATGCATATAGTTGAAGTTACATATTAAGAGATTAATGTGAATTAAAAGAGCTTAGCATTCTATCTAATGCATGTATTGCAGATATTAAAATGAGGTCAAGAAAGTGAAATTGGATTCCCTTCCCACTCGTATAAAGCTGAGGAAAGATGCCTGCTGTGTTCAGACCTGGGGGATCAGATGCAGCTCCTCAATGTTCTTTCTGCCCCACATGTTTTATAAACATGCACACACGGCTCTACCCCCCACCTCATCTTCTCCAGCTATCCCGTCGAAGTAGAAGAGAGATGCTTTCCTTGGAGAGGTCACTGGCAAAGAGAAGATTCCCAACATTTAGGGCAGTTTCTATTCCTCCTGTTGGGTGTATTAGTGATCTTAGGATCCTAAATATGATCCTGCTCCACCCTGCTCGAGTCCCTGAAATGCAGTTAATGCAACAGGTGGGGGTGGCCTCTTCCTCCTCCTCCTCGCTACTTTTTTGTGGTTCAGCATTAAAGGTAAGATGAGGGTTTATTATGAAAGCAAATGGTTTAATGATTTTTCAGGTACTAGAACAGGATAGGATAGACTCACACTTAGGTGCCTAAGTCCATTTCAGTCCTAATATGTGGAACAGATTCTGGTCCTTAGAGGACTAACTCTACCTGTCAGTGGTGTCCCACCTACTGGTCATGGTGCCTACTTTGATAAACGTTCTCAAAATAAAAATGACCACTGTCTGTGGGGGCAGATAGCTTGGCTCCGAGCTACACAAGGTACTAAACCATGGTGGCAAAGCTCAAGTCCTCCAAGGCCAAAAAGATATTACTACAGAGTCTGCCCCTGCAAACCAGACTGGGCACCTGTTGGGAGCTCTTAGTCCTTTTCCTGAGGAATAGGCTTCTGTATAGGACAGCCACCATTCCCCAGCCCTGCTAGCAGCTGAATTGGCCATACTCTACTCCCAGCCCCAAAGATGAAGGGACCGCTTAGGGTCAAGAGTAAGGCAGAGACACAGAGATGCCTGGGGGAAGCTTACAATGAGACTGGATGTGATATAATCTCTGCAAGGAGGCCTAGTTCTCCCTAGCTTTCCACCAGCTACTTCAAATAACAAGGAAGAACCTAGCCCCACACCTAGGACCCTGCACTGGAAGTACCCGGGGTTAGTTTGTGCCTCTGTTTTTCTCCTATGTGTTATTCATGTTAGTTCCAATGAGAAATTAATAGTCACGTTATCATTAATAGGTCAGCCAGCTAAATTGCAAAGGGTGATGGCATGGTGAGATAACTAGTCCTTACCCAAAGGCTGCCCAAGCACTTAGTGGTCACCCTGAGTTATAATTAGGAGAACCTTGGCTCGTCCTTTGCTAGGACAATGGGCAAGATCCTTAGCTGGTATCAACTGTGGCAGCTCCACTGAAGTCCGAGTCCAGGGGCCCAGCCCTCCAGTAAATTCAGAAGGACTCAGCTCCCACCGTGGAGGCTGACATTTCTGAAGAGCTCAGCTACCACCAGCTCTCATTTCACCCCTCTCAACAAACAAACAGACAGACCTTATGAAGAGAGGCTGAGAGCCATGGGGCTCTTCAGCCTGGAAAAGCGCAGGCTCAGGGGTGATCTGGTGGCCGCCTATAAGTTTATCGGGGTCACCACCAGGATCTGGGGGAACGTCTGTTCACCAGAGCGCCCCAAGGGATGACGAGGTCAAATGGTCACAAACTCCTCCATGGCCATTTCAGGCTGGAAATAAGGAAGAACTTCTTTACTGTCCGAGCCCCCAACATCTGGAATAGCCTGCCTTTGGAGGTGGTTCAAGCACCTACATTGGACGTCTTCAAGACACATTTGGATGCCTATCTTGCTGGGATCCTATGATCCCTGCTGACTTCCTGCCCCTGGGGCAGGCGGCTGGACTCGATGATCTTCTGAGGTCCCTCCCAGCCCGAATGTCTATGAAATCTCTGAAACACATGCAACCACCCCTCCATTGAGAGCAAAGAGGACTGCTAGATCTGGTTTCACTGGAAATTCTGGTCCTAGTCTCAAGGTGCTTGATCTGGAGCTGCTAGTATCTGAAAGTCCACACAAGCCTTACCCTCTTCTACCGGGCATTGGTTCAAATCCAGCCTCGGCACTGAAGCTTCAGTGGAGCCAATTGACCCCAGGCCAGTAGAGAATCAGGTACCTAAGATAACTGATGCTATCTAATAAAATCTAAATCTGAAGCTGTCTAATAAAAAATACCTGGCACTTGTCATCAGTTGATCTCAAAGCATGTCAGTATCATTAACCCCTTTTAGAGATGGGAAAACTGAGACACAAGTGAAGAGGACTGGAACACACCTCTCCTGCACCACCGTCTGGTGGGCCAGCCGGAAGGCCATGCGTGCAACAAACTTCCTAGGGAACATCTGTCCAGATCACACCTGGCAACCTCAGTAAAAAGAAGAGGTGCCGAATAGTTCTAGACAAGGTGAGAGAGAGCTTCAAGCATGTAAATGTGCATGGCCTCACTAAATCTAAAATAGCTCTATTGAGCTTTGCTGATTTTCACCCGCTGAGGCCTCTCCTCAGTCCTTGCCCTCTACCCAGCCCCAGAAAAGTTCAGTGGACTGTGTGCCAGGAAGCTTACCCTACTCACACCCCAGCTGCTCTGGGGAGAGATGATGGACTTTGGTTTCCCGGGCCATCGATACAGAATCTTTTACAAGCGCCACAATGCAGCGTGGCTGCAGGGTGTGTCAGATTGCAGCAGCTGCTGGAGTTACGATGGAGTTTATGAAAATGGCTGTAGCAACAGTTCTGTGCAAGTGTCCATTATGAATTCAGGCTGGCATAACAGCATCAATTAAAAAAGCCTTGCTTTGCAATTCATGCAAATGCTACGTCGCTTGCCAGAGCTGATAGCGGTGCCATTCGCTTCTTCAGATTTAAAGGTTTCTGATATAGAGAGATGCTTTTTTGCTTCCCCACAAGGTTTGTAATTCTAGTGGAAGGACTTGCTGAGATTTGTCAGACCCTCTCTCGAAAGGGAGACCACGCTGGGGAGTCTCAGGTGGTAGCAATCAGATTATACTGAGGATCAGTCTGGCCAGACCTTGTATCCAGGCGTGCACACAAAAGGTGCACGAAGAGGCTGCCCCCTCTTCACATCTGCACCACCGGCTCTGAGCAAGATGATGAGGTGGAAATGGACGAGAATAGCAGAGGCAATGCATCAATTAGCAGAGCGGAGCTGATGCTGGGACTAGGGCATTAATCCACTAATTGTATATGCCCACAGCAGATACCTTCCCTTAGATGCTCCTGGTTTATGAGTCATGGCTTCAGCTATCCTTTGGATAACAAGCCCTGTTCAACATCAGGTCCATAGGAGGAACTTGGCTTTCGTCTCTAATCCTTGCTCATTAGATACCAACATTTAACCCTTTAGTTGCTAGGTTCAAAGGCTTTCCACAGCACCCTAGCTAAGACAGCAGTTAAGGCCTGCTTCACCTTGGGTACAAGCAACTGAAAAGAGGCCCAATATAATATGGAAATCAAATGCTCTGTAGCAGAAACACTTTGTTTGGGGGCTTTTTTCTCTTAGTGAATCACACTCAGGCCTCATTCCTGCCAGGATGAGCTTGTGGAGAGTCCATTATGCAGAGAATCTGTTCCCAAGAGCACCAGTAAGAGCCCCCAACAGAAAAGCTGCTACCTGGAAAGCTTTCCTGTATCTTCTCCTGTCTCCTCTATAAAAAGCTCAGGCAAGCCTTTAGCTTTCCAGGATCTGATACTCTTAATATACCACAAGCAGGACTCTGTTCCCACTGGAGTTGATGGCAAAACTTCCGCCAATCACAGCAGAAACAAGATCAGACCCTGTGAGTGTTCCCTGTCTTCTGGTCAAGGGAATCGGTCCAGTTTTGTGGTTGGATCTTCTTTTGCTTTTCTGAACTATTTTTATTGCCTCAGACAGCAGCATTGCTAGACAGTCAAAAATTAGAGGCCAGATCCTCAGCTGGACTGAATCAGCCTTGATTACAATGGAGCCATCCTGAGTCACGCCGGCAGAAGGGTTGGCCATAAACATCAAGCGCTTAGTCCTGTGGATGGCTGAGAAGACCTGCAGCCAGACTCCAGGAACCCCATTCTGGGCTCATCAAGGCAAAGGCAGTGATTTCTTCTTGGCTGCCTTGTGTGGCACTGTGGATGCATCCCCACAAGCAGGAATATACCTGTGCCGCTGCTAGTTGGCACGTGGCAAGTTCCCCTAGGTGGGGTAGGGAAGACTGGGGCCAGCACCTGGGCTGTCCCCAGCAGCCTTACCTGGGGACTTTCTGGGGCTCTAGCAGCAGTGATCCAGGTATGCAGAGCCTGGCCAGCAGTTGGACTGTCCTCTGGCTAGCCAGGCTCCAGTGGTGGCAGCATGTGCTGCCCAAAGCATGCACCACCCTACTTTTTTCTGGTACAGGTGTTGTTTTTTTAATGCCAGGATCTCCTGGTGTCAAAAACCCCCCACTGCACTGCAAATTAGCAATGTGGCAAATGCTTGCATGTGCGGCACATGCAGTTTGTGGTGCCACAGATAGGTCTGCAGCACCGCAAACTGTAGGTGCGCACTCGTCTGGACGTGCCCTGCGTGGCCAGCGATCAGAACCATTGAAAGGGCAAGATCCTGTCCTACAGCGCACTGAAGAAGAGGATGGAGGCCGTGCGCCAGCTAAAGACAGGTAGCTCTCATTCTGACCTTACTCCCCTTCAACGCAATTATATTGAGCGACATCCTCAGTTGTGAAAATTCACATAGCACTTCTGAAGTAAATGGCCAACTCGTGTTGAGAGCC